ATATATATATATATTCATTCAAAATTATTCATATATATATATATATTCATTCAAAATTATTCATATATATTCATCCATATATATATATATATATATATGTATATATTCGTTTATTCAAAATTATTCATATATATATATATTTTTTTTTATATAAATATACTTTATATATATATAAAGTATATTTATATAAAATTTCTTAATAAACTTAAATTCTTGAAAAATAATTATTTTATTGACTGTTATAGCTATAGTAATTACCAACTACTGCAACTAAAGTACTAAACATGTATAAATGTATTGAAACATATATAAAAATGTATATGTATAAGTAATTTTATATAGTTTAACTGACTAGTATATTATATAAAAGCATAAGCATTTTCGATATGAATAAATAAATTAGATAAATGTTAGCGTAGTGATTGTGTTGATACAGTTGTGCTGAATAATTTAGTCAATAATTATTGTTGTCTAACACCATTCGTAGATTTTTCCTGATCCGCTCGAATTCGAAGAATTCTGTTTGCAAAATAATTGGCTCGCTCTGATTGATCTTTCAAAAGAGAGTCGTGTGCCTACGTGGATACATTTACCCTACTTTTGCCTTGACTGTGCAACTCCCCTCCATGCTCGCTGAAAAACCGCCTTCGCATACCTGTTACACGTTTAGTTCAATGCATCGTGCTGCATCATTTCTTGCCATTATTCCAATGTAAATAAATGCAACAACCGCCATCATGCTCTTCTGCTTGGAACCAAAACTCGTATGAGTCACCGTTCCTTTTAATTCAAGTAAGAAGTCAAAGTTAAGTCATCCGTGCTGAGCGTAGATCGAAATCGAGGGTCAAATATAATACGTATATTTCATTTGGAATTTGTTTTCTTTTTTTTTAATCGTTTTAGGTTATTCTGATATTGTTTCTTTTTTTTTCTATCTTGCACTTTTTCGTTACTTTTTATGAAATTTTTTATTACCATTTATTCTTGTCGTTACATCTTGGATGTTTATACAGATTCAAGGTTTCATGAGCATAATTGAAGAAATGAAATCTAGATAGAAACTTGTTTTAATAGAGTACTTGCGTAACCGAGTATATTTTCATTTACAATAACTTTACTTATTAGTATCTAATTTCGAGAGGTAGCTTGTTTATTCCATTTCAAAAGCATCATACCAGTGCATTTAAATTTCCGATCACAAAGTATAAATATACTTGTTGTAGTCTCTTATCAAAACGTGCACATTTTTATATTCTGTAAACAATTTTTATAACATTTTTTTCATTTCAGAATGTTTCGATGCTCTTCATAAAATATATATGTACATTACTTCAGTTGACATATGTAAAATTTATAAAAATTTAAAGAGACTGAAGGATTTCCAAATACGTGATATAACATTTTTTCTGTAAAGTATCTAT